TAAGAGGCATGCAGATTAAGGACTCCTACTATTTGTATCAGTGGAGCCATCCTAAGAATTGGATAGTAGAAAATTGTCACCCAACTTATCTGTGGTTTGAGCACTGAAAATGGAGTTCTAGCTAAACAAACAAGGTTTTGCAGCAGAAGGTGGAGATAAGTAATGTAATACTGCAACTACACTCACAAAAGTGAAACTTTAGCAAATATAATTCTTGAGAGATCAGTGCTTGAGATATTTAATTTTAATTTCCAAATGTTATAAAAAACTTCATGACTGGTTTGTGTTCCTCTGTTCTGCCCAGTGGCCAATTTTAAATGTGTATAACAAAGGATCTGAGATCAAGCAAGCAGTCTTTTGCATTGATGTTGTCTTTAACTACAACTGAACATATAAAACTTGTGCTTAATAGCTACTGCACTGGCCATAAGCCAGGAAATCCCTTTTTGCAAATTATAACCAAAAACTTGGTTTTATTTTTGAACACCTCCATGCACCTTGCTTCAACTCTATAGGAAAGACATTTGTAGAAACAATGAGGTTACTGCTTCTAAGCAAGTACTTCCATGGAAGTCCCTGTTTGGGGCCTTTCTGAGCCCAAACCTTTCCGAGGTCCAAGTGGCCTGCAGCCTAGAGTTGTAGGCTTTTGGTAGAGCTGTCAGGGTACTTGGCCCAGTTCTGGCACTGGAACTTGGTGCTATGGAGAGTGCCACTAATGCGGCAGGCTCTGCTCCTCTTAGAAGTTGTGTGGGAATTCATGGTGGGGATAAGCCCCAAATTTGTGTGTTGTCTAAATGAGCAGAATGCCCTCTGCTGGACAGGGCAGAGCAGGAAAGGATATGATCTAATTACTGGGAGCATTTCCTGGGGAAAAGTAAGCCTTGTGTACAGTAAGGCAGTTTCCAGGGAAAACAGTTATAGAATGTATGGAACAATCGTGAAATTTGCGTGAGGGGAACGGGAGAAGGAAGGAATTATAAGAAAGCCAGCAGAAAACTAGCTGCATTCCAGACCTTCTTACTCAGACTATGCAACATTGTTGGATAGTGAGTGAGTTGAAGGGAAAGAGGGAAGAGGAACAGGAGGAAGTTGGGGGAGCATTAAGTTAACAGTGGGTTGAATACCCAGGACTGGAACAAGTTTCAACATCTAAGCTGTAGTCACTCTAATCTGCAAAGAAAGGACTGAATTTATGGGGAAGGAATAAAGTAGCAGGATAAGAGATACAAATCCAAACTTATGCATGCAGTTCAGAACTAGACATATCTTAAGTATAGGGGGCTTATAATGAAAAGATCTGCACAAAATATTTCAACAATGTTGCAGAAGGTTGAAGTTGACATTACCAATGCAAAATTTTTTTTTTCCTGGAAAAATCAGGTGAATATCTGAGAAATTTTGGATGATCTTATAGCTATAGTACTGTTGTGCACCTCTGGTAGATTAAGTTTGGTTTACCCCTAATGTTTGTTTCATTCTCTGTTTCCAGCAAAGCTAAGCAGGTTGCTCATAGCTGTATTACACATTGGTGCTTCTGTTTTCACAGTAAGTTTGGCCATCCTGAACTTTCAGGCTCTGAATTTTGTTCTGTTGCACCATGCTTGCTAAAAGCATGGATATATCTCTACTTCTTCCATAAAGGTGAAACTTCATATGCACAACATGCCTTCATGTGCTATAAAGACAGCAAGTGTGTATTCTTTCTGTGTGTGCCCTTCACTGAAAAGCCAGAGAACTATAAAACATGGCAGTGAGTTTCTCAATCATCTTCAGAAGATCATACCCACCTAGAAAATGAACACAAAAGCCTGAACTGTGGGAACTGAAGTAGAACAATCATGCTTATGGAACACATTGGCCCTAATTTACTCTTCAGCTTTTGTCACCTAGAGTTTTCTGGATTGAGAGTAATATCAAGACTGGATTTAACTTTTAGAAATGCTGAAATGCACCTTTTTGCCTTTTGATTTACACTGCTGCTGTAAGCACTGGTCTTTCCTTAGAAAATTAAAAATGTCCATTATCTGGAAGTAATGCAGTTGTGCCGAAATACAGGATTGGTATTGGCAAACTGTAGCTGAAATTCTGTGGAAGACCAATGAAATTAATATGAAGTTTGATTCCTGACTAGTATGCAAATCTGGATATGAATTCACTGTGAAGGTCTTGGCTACTAAGTAGGTTTAAAAGTAGTCAGGGAGGCTGATGTTTGTCAAGTAATTGTTGAATGTTATGCATTCAGTAAGCAGCTATTTTGTGGAGGAAGTTTTAAATTACATTTCATGATAACAAGTTGTTAAAGGTTTATGGAAACAGCATGGCTAATTTTATACACATTATTTGGAGAGCATCATCATGGAAGCAACGAACGAACATAATTTCCTTTTGCAAGGGAAGTGATTGCTCCAGCAGAGAGAAGAGGTTACAATTATAATGACAAGCAATTGAGATGATTTGAAAAGAATATATTCAAAGTTAAATATTTCTGAAGTTTCTGTATTTTATGTATGTGAACTGTGGAATTACTTCCTGAGCTTGCCTTTTATCCATAATTAGAAGCAGGTTACATTGCTTCTGGTTGATAAGCCACTAGTTATTACTATGGTGTTAAATTTGCCCTTGTACCGAATGACCCAAAGGGGAAAACCTGTCTGTTTGATTACAGTAATAATAGCTTTTAACAATTGGATTTACTTAGCTAGATGTTAATTGATCCACTTACAACCTTCTGCAAAAAGAGTTTGTGAATGTTACACAAGACTGCAGGGAGCTGCAGGCAAAAATTAGAAGACATCTGGTAAATTAAGGGTTATGAACTGCCAAGTTCTACTGAAGGAAAACTGCATTTCAAAAAAGATCTCAGTCAGTGCTCAACATTAAAAAGAATTATGCAAAGTTTAATTATGGATAGTGGTGCAAACCATCTCTTTATTGTGTAGTTTCAATTTTCACATGAGAAGGAAAATATAGGCAGTTTGAAAAAAATTAAGATCTGTTATAAATGAGAAGTTGGAGTTCATTCCTTATTTTCCATTGTTCTCTTGCTTTCCTTGGGGCTGAAGAGTGGAGAGATATCTGGAGGGTGTGCATGGTTATGAAATCAATAATTTGGAAATTTGAAGGAAAGAAGTTTCTGTATCCAATAATCTTTCAAGAAAAACAAATGACTGATGCACTGAGTTTTGGCAACTGGGATATCCCCAACCTTGTGTAAGGTGATAAATAACATTTTAAGTAGACAGCTGTTTGCAGTTTCCCTAAAGCAGATCAGTATTTTTAACCCAAGATACATAGGTTTCTGACCCTTTTCCCTCCCCCACAACTTTTCTGTCTTATTTAAATGCAACTCCAACTCATTTTGACTGGTCCCACTCCAAATACAAGAAAACTTAATCACCATTAACTGCTGGTCTGTATACTGGTCAGGAGGGATATCCATTTAGCTATGGAAACATAGCTAGATGGCTAATACACTCTTCCATGAGAGAAAAACAGCTTCTGCATGTATCTGGTTGACTGCTCAAGTATAATTCCCAGTCTTCTTTAGGCATGAGTATTATGTATTACCAAGAAAAAAAATTACAAGGGAACTTAAACAATTGCTTTACATATGTCTGTAATTCTAACTAGTATGAGCCACAGCTGTTGCAATAGTAACACAAGAATGTACATGGAGAGGGAGTATTTTTCACCTGTTTATCACGTGGGGATGCTTAAATCTTCATGGATAATATTTTCTGTGTACTTTCTGATGTAAAGTAAAACCCAAAACATTACAAAATTGAATTTAGATGTCCATTACAGCACATCTAGTGCTACACTCACAATACATATAGTACAGTTGAAATACCATAGTTGAGAAAGTTTATCATCCCTGCTCTACTACTTTATAGGTTACAATGACTGTTTCTGAATTTCCATTTCTTCATGTTAGATCAGGCTGCTAGCTTTTCTAAACAAGGTTAATAATAGCGCATATTTTAAAACTGTCTCTGGTTAGTAGAGAATGGTGGCATTTGTTCCCATTTACATGTCTAATATTTCTCTCAGTCTCAGCACTGGGTTTCCAAAGAAGGCAAAAGCAATGCTATGCACAGGAGTTGCAGCAGAGTAGGGAAAGGTATGTTCCCACTTTAGAACACCTCAGACTCTGCTATAGCAACTTCCCCACTGATTAAGTCCCTGAAAATGGCTAATAACAGTTGTTAGAGGAGATAGGTATAATACTGTGTCATGTGCTAAAGGTCTGATCCAAATAGGCACCCTGTGTCCTTGTGTCTTTTTGAACTTGATGTGAAGTGATAGCTCTAATTGTATATCCAGTGTGTTGATAGACTGAAAATATGACAATTTGGTTTGCAGATTGCTATTACTATAATTAGTGATTAAACCAGTGTTGGAAACTGCTAGGCCAATGCTTCGTTACGCACTCAGTCTGCATGAGAACATGAAGACTATGATGGGTTGTAAAAAATCTGCTAATGATATTGTACAAAGCAATGCTAGTCGAATCTTTCATGTGCTGTGTGTACAATTACATACAGTTTCTAGCAGTGATCTTACTACTAGTTTCTCCAGAATAAGACAAAAAAATTAATGGGCAGATATTGGCTAAAGGGTTTGGAAAAGAATTGCCCCTTGGCCGTGCTTCTTTCCAGACTATTGATGCATACTTTACTTATTTTGAGAAACCAGATTTTTTTTCTTGGTGGAATGCTTTCAGTGAAGTAGTGCTCCATTGGAGCTGATGGTAAAACTCTCACTGGCTTCAGTGAAATCAGGATTTAAGTGTAAGCCATATACTACAGCTCTCATTCACTTCCTTACAATTACAATTCAACATTTGAAAACAAGACTACCTGAAGGCCCCTTGCTAAGGCTATGGAAGGGTGATTTCCATTTTAAGTAAAAAATTAGCTTACAAGGTCTTAAATACCAGTATCTTGTTTTATACCAAACAGTCCTATTCTGGTATAGTCAAGAATTATGGTATGCACACATTTATAGTGTTTATTATCTTTAATTGGCATTTCTAAAAATAGTTTTATTTGCAGTTATTTCTTTAAAATGATTTGTTAAAAATATTTTATTCTAACTATACAGTTCTAGTGTAATCTTCATTTCTGTGTTTGCTCTTGTCACTGATGATGTTCATTACTGCATTTGGACATTTGCTGGTAAGTTTGTAAATTCTACTGTTCTTCACTTCTGTATCAGAAGTAGGCTCACTGCACCTTCTTAAAGACCTGCTTACACTTGACTCCACACACTCTTATTTCCTAGGAAGAGAAAATAATTAAAAAATACAGCTTTTACATAGGATACATGCATTATACATTCATGTGTGCTTAATTTGAATCCACAATTTTCCATCAAATTAGATTGGGTAGCTTGTACATGTTTTAGCCTATTTTTAATCCTTAAAGAAACCAGCTGGTTTAGATTTGTTTTCTGGTGAAAGGTGGAGTAAGAGAAGTTATTTTGGGATCTCAGATCTTAAAGGGCCAAATGTGTTCCTGGTGCATTATTCTCTATTTGCAGTGTGTGCAACTGCTTAGGTCTTTTAAATGGGCATTCTCTATGTTGGACACATAAATAAGTTATTTGGGGATGGAGCTGAATAACCAGTTCTGAATCTGTATGTTGATGACTGGTAGTTCAAACCTACAAAACCAGAAATCAGCTGAAAGCCCACTCTAGCAACAAAATGGTCATGGCTAGAAAAGGACAGGTAGTTGCATACAGATTTGATCTAGGTCTACAAATCATAGCATAGCAGTGAGTTTTGACTGAACTTGACCATACTGGATGCCTAATGCTGTCTACTGTTCCTTTGTGTTCCATAAGAGCTTTTCAAAAATCCCTACTTGCTAGTCACTGGATCATCATGAACTGTGCATAAGCAGGTTCAATGATGTTTACGTCTTGGGCACCAATTTGTGAGGCCAACTGTTGTTTACCTAATCTCACTGAAGATGCAGTTTAATTTTCTCCATTACTGAAACTATTTAAGTTAGACCTGACAAGTGCACACTTTATGTGTGGGGATATGTGGAGGTGTTGACTAGCTTTAGTGGAATAAGAAAAAGGGATAGAACTTCTTAAGGGACATAAAGACAAAGGTTATGTATGATCTAGCAGAAGGGATGTGCTTTCTATTTCAAGATAAGACTTTTAATAAAGCTGTCAGAATATTTTGGGGAAACAGGAGGCAGAGTTTCCTCGAAAGTTATGCACATTTTCTTATGGGGGACTTTGATAAAATGACATATTAAAAAAACCTTACACTGAGTCAATAACCTTATTGGTGTATGTTGCTATCCCTAGTAAGAGAAAGTGCTTCATGATGAATCGATGAAACAAGCAGACTGATACAGTGATTTTAGTTAGGACCTGTTTTGTTTACTTCTATATAGGTAACCTGGAAGAAGGAGTGTGCAATAAGGGCGAAGAGATCTGCTGACAGTGACAAAAACCTACAGAGCAGAAGCAATCAATACAATAGAAAAGGGCAATAAAACTCAAAAGGAAATGGAGAATGGTCAAATAAGTCACTCACATAAAATAGAATCTAAGAAGGAAAAAGAAATACAAAGTACAGACCATAGAATGAAATGGAGAAAATAGGAGGTGATAAACTACTAAAGGATGTGGTACTACTCTCTACAGAACTGTGGAAAGAATTAAATTAACACTTGGCTCATTGTGTAAAGTTCAATAGGATCATAAAGCTATCAAAGTATCAATTTTTTAGAGGTAACTGCCCATTGTAACAAAGGACTCTCAGGAGTACAGGACCTAGTAATCTCAGCTGGTCAAAAAAAGATGCTAAATGGGACTCTTTTACTGTATGTTTAATGGAGAGAGTTACATTAACAAGGATTCAGAGAAATAAAGTGGACATCTTTAGAAGTTCATGAAATATAAAAAGTGGTAAAATTGAAATATTGGGGACTGTGCTCTAAAATACCTGGTTACTTCCTTGGCATGAAATAATTTTGTACTGATTGTTGTGTACATGAGAGATAGATTGTGATAAATTGTACAAGTGCCAATGAGTGCATGGATGCCAGCATGAGCTGTCAGGTATGATACAGAACTCTTCTCAACCTTCTGAAAAAGCAGCCTCAGATCAGTCAGGTTACCTTGGGGTACCTAAAATGGTACTAGACACATATGTTTGAGCAACTGAATCTCAATTTATGGCTTCTAAAATCAAACTCTTGACACGGTCAAGTATAGGAAGTGGTCTGGCCTGGAGGTCCATCACTAGGTTGTATGGCTAGAGCATGAATCAGAGTAAGGATAGCAGAAATCAGGGCTAAAGAAATTCATGTTGGAGACAGGAAATGGGAAGAGATAATGACTCCAGAGCTGACAAGGGACAGAAACCAGGATGCCAATACAGAGAAATCCAACAGCAACTAGTGCTATCGCGTCATATGTGTGCAGATGAGAGCACGCGTATGTATGATTGAGTGCAGCAAGGTATAAGTTGAACTTCTAGGCCTGACATTGTATGGCTAATTGCAACCTGTTTGCCAGCTGAGAACCTGAAAGGGCTGATGCTTGGTGTCATGGCACCAACTGTTGTGAAGCTGGGAGGTAGTGCGGAAATACTTTAGTGTGTTTGTGTATAGACAGAAGGAATATATACACACAGGAAATTCTGGAGTCTCCTTTTTATTGCTTCCCTCTACTTTCAGTGAGCCCATGACCTCAGCTATAAAGTGATTACTTACACAGTAACTTTCTCCCTACCTGCATTATATCAAGTATGTAGTCCAGATGGTAAGATCTGTCATATACATTCCTTTCCCGAACTGGTTTCTAGGACTTCCAGTACTTCCTGAAAATTGTGCTTAGTAATAAGGGGTTTGGGGTACTTTTGCAAAGATTTCATAACTCTGCTACTGATTTGAATATTTAGAGAACATCCATTTAGACTGCTGAATGCTAATAGTACTGAACAGTGAACAGAAATGGAGGTTGGATTTTATTATCTCAGCAGGAAGACTGCCTTTTACCCACATTGATGAGACAGTGAGGATGCTATAAAGAGCTATGTGAGAAAAGAATAGGCATCTTCTTTCAGGTCCTGTTAACTTAGAAAGATAAAAATGATGATCTGAAAGAAAATGACATTTCAAAAACTTAATTGCTGTTTTAGTTCTCTAGGCTATAATGCAGTCTGGTCTGTAATTATTTTAAAAGAACAATGGTGTATTTTCACCTTATGGCTTATTGTTGGATGCATAATTTCACCAGCTCCCATACTGCATATTTCACAGACTGCATGAAGGACATTCTGTTAAATGTCTTCCTCAGTGTAAACATTTCAAACTGGTATGTCTGGACAGACAGTTAACACAGAAAGAGTACTGCTTTGAAATCAGGCAGCCTTTGTAAGGGACATAAAAGCATAATGGCTCCAAATGAAATTGTTGCTTTAGAAACAAGTCAAATGCTGCACCAATGCATAATTATGTCAAAGTAATAACATAGCACACAGCCTGCTGCATTACATCTAACCATTTTAATAGAGTGGCATTTAAAACCTGTTACATGATCTTACCAGGTGCATTTCATCTCCTTCAATCCACTGGGTCCAACCACGACCTTCTTTTTCTCCATTCTGTACACAAAGCAGCTTATCTCCATCCCAAGATACAGTGGTCTAACAAAGCAGACATGTTCAGTGTCACTGCAGTATTCTCTGATATTATAATTAGTCTCCTTAAAGCAAAACTTCTCTCTAATATAATAAATGATTAATGTATCTCATAAGAAGAATATTTGTAGAGTGTTGTAACACTTAGGATAATTAAAAAAGAAATGAGCTTAAATAGAAAGTTACTGCCCAACTGCCTGTCAAAACCTGGAAGGGTGAGATAAACCTGTTTAAATGCAAGAAAAAAAAATAATGAAAATCATTGTGTAAGAGTGCATTCCTCTACCTGTTGACAAATACAGCAGCAGAAGGGATGTGCAGCTTAACACTGTATTTGCAAAAGGAGCTGAAAACTTGAGATTCAATTTGTTTTTTCCACCATAAGAAGGATTCCCCAGCTGCTCTACCTGAAAAAAGTACCCACCTACTGGCACCTATGGACGAACAAGGCTTTTAAATCCTGAGCTGTTTTTTCCCCATGTCTTAACCTGCCTTCCGTCACTGAGCAGAGTGGTTTTGAAATATCAGCAAATTGGTAGTTTTGCCAGCATCCTGCTTTGTATAACTGTAGCTGGAGAACTACTTGAACCAGGACTGGCAGAATAAGAGTAGGAGGTGTTTGCAGGATGCAACATAGCACTTTTGTGAATATTGGTGCTGTCCTGAGTAGTTCAGTAGAACTTGATTCATAAAACTACTTAAAGTTAGAGGGTGCATCCTACAGCTTGTTACTCTGGTCAGTCTTTACTGACAATTTGCCTTTCATATCTTCCTAAGATAAAGAGAAGCAATACTCTGTAAAATATTTAAAGAGGGAAGGGGAAGAGCAGTGACAATTTGTGCTCTGTAAGGATAGTTTAACATCAATATTAGCACATGGCTTTTAAACCAGCTTGTTGGAAGTGAATCTGAGGACTAAATATGGCATTACTGTCGACCTTGTGAAAGTCTTCAGCCACTGCCTGTATGAGTAGTCAAATATGGAGAAAAGATGAATTCTGATCTATCATTAAAGGAAAACTTACTGCATCCATTCTGTGTAGTTTCTAAGAAAAGAAGTCAGCCTATATTTGTCATTCTGGGAACTAAAATCAGTTCAACATTCAAGAACTATGCAGCCCTATTTATTTAATTTGTGTATGTATGTCACAAACAACTAATTCTTAAATGATAACCATGATAGCCACTATCTTTAAATGAGTACAGCCAGCAGTCTCCATCCTTGGGAGAATGGATACTGTGGAATGAAGCACCTGTATATGCAACTTTGCTTAGTAACCACACTTATTTTTATCCATTGAGTATTAGCTCAGCATAGTTTAATCATTAGACTAGCTTAATAGTTAAATTTTGTGGGTTTATATGTGAATGCAAAGGCAATATACCATGATAAAATAAGATTTAACTTTATTCGTACTGCTAATGTTCAAAGTCAGTTGTGGAAGTTATTAGTCTTGATAATATTCACCAGCTTAGTACTTTGGGGGCAACTGAGAAATGTTTGCAGCAGCACAAGGAAATGTTAACTTTTTCGGCCTCCAAGGGTGACTGAAATTGTTTCATCTCAGAAAACAGCACACTTTTTTCTCTGGCTTTCTTGTTTTTCCAGTCAAGATTAGATACTGCTTTTGGCAATTTGGTGATAACCACAAAGTGTATAATACCACAGACCATTAACCAAGCTGTTTTATCAGCCAATATTCTCAGTTATCATCCTCTGCCTTCCTTTTCAGAAATATAAATACTGAAGGGATATGAGTAAACCATACACTTTCTGATTTTTGTATTTGCTGTGAAGGTTATAAAGGACAGAATATATTGCAGGAGAACATAATGTCCTCTTCTTTGTTAGCAGGAACAACCACTTTATGACAGTAAGATTAATCACTAGCATTTTTATCTTCTCTTTCTTTAGGTCAAACTGTAATGTCTCATATAATAAAAGACACAGCTAATACAGAAGATAGAAACTTCTCTTTTAACTTGAATTGAAATAAGTTCTTCCATTCCAAATATCTCTGTTGAGACACATGTTGAGTATTAGTTGAGGTTGGAGTTGATATGGCTGTTATATATGCACTGGCTGCTGCTAATAGCCCACTCTTTTCAAATAGCTAAGATACAGCAGTGCTTGCCTTAGAACATTTCCAAATATTTGAGTCAGAACATAATAATAATATTCCAAAAATACCACTGTAGGCCAAATGTTGGTAAATATGATCTCTGTTGTATATAAGAGCAAAGATTTATTTTTAAAGATTGGATCAGGATATTGCTGTTGTATAATTGGGAGTCAAGCACTTGAATAGACTAGTAAGGCAGTTCTGTATGAACCTTTAGTCGCTGTTGTTTTCTTCTCCCAGCACACACTTACTATCAAGATAAATGCTTTACTTGTTATGTAAAGCAACTCTTCTTAGAAAAGTAGACTTTTATAATTAACCTTGTTTGTCACCATTTTGATAATAGCATTACCTAAGGTTTGCCTGATTACAGAGACTGAGCTGCTGTTTCCTATCTGGAATGACAGAAAATCTTTGCCAGGGTTTGGTGAGCGCAGCATCCCTGGGCAGACTGTTCCTATTCTTCATCTTCCACCACAAGTAAGAGGAGAAGTAGACAAACTTTGAGACACTGGAAAGCTGCAGTTTCCTGATGGTAACAGAACCAACTAGATGAAAATGTAGTATTTCTCTAAAACTGAAGGCTTGTGCCTTTTTGAGCATCTCGTACTACTTGTAGGATAAATGGAAGACTTTACTTATTCCTTTCAACTAGGTAGCACATCATCTAGTTCATCATAAGCAAGCTTAAGTTTTGCATACTTACTACCTGATCATGCTTAAACCTAAGATTAATACTTCTTAGGTTAAATGCATATAATTCTGTAGGAAACTTCAATAGAAAACAGTGATTAATGCGATTAGTCGACAGTGTGATTAAAAATACTGAAGAAGCACAAGAAAAGTTAATAGAGCGAGATAAGAATGAGTCTTGCCTCAATTTAACTTTTCTCAAAAATTCTAGCCACCAATATTGCACATATTTCGGATTATATATTCTTTGTTCTTGAGGGGTAATAGAGAATGGAGCTCCTCCGGGAGGTGAATAAGCCTTTGAAGTCTGAGAACACAAAAAAAATTCAAATTTTCTTTAGTTTTATAATATGCTTTCTATAGTCTTACACTTTTTTTGTGTACTTAGATATTTTCCTTTTATTACTTGGCCATTCACATACTTTTGTTAGTGATTTAATCTTTTTGTGTTACGAAGATTTAAACACCTGTGCATAGCAACACCATCTTCCTGAAAATTAAAGCTAGAAGAAATGATAATTAGTCTCGTTACGGTTTTCAGTTATGAGACAAGGTAGATTTAATAAATATTTAGTAAAAACAAAGCAAATCTATTGACTATGTATTTGCATTTTCTCTAGTAGCAGTAACAGTAGTCAAGTCTTGCAGAATTACAATAGCTATTATTTCCAGCTTCTAGTGGTAAGTCATATTGACCCACAGCCAGAGATACTGACTTTTGTAATTTACTGCAATAGTCGTCAAACTATTTTATCAGAGAATTTTGCATTTCCCAATGAGGTCTAAGTGCAAAAACATTTGATACTGGCTCCGCAAAATGTTTCTCATTCCTATGTTGGCTATTCCTAATATGCTTTCTTGTGTCAAGTGCTCTGCAGTTGAAGATATGTAATGTATTTTACAGGTGAATGAAAGAAAATAACATTTTTTTTTTTAAAGTAGTCCATGAACATTTTTTGTTAATGCTACATAGATTTTTGACACAATGCATTTACAAATATGAATTGCAGCTACCACCTTTCATCAAAAATGTGTTATTGATTTCACATCTGTAGGAGAAACACAGCAGTACCAGTTCTATTTTTCTTTTACTTCCCTTCAGAGTGTTGTCTCTATATTATGGTGCAGCAAATGACTACAACGGTCTAAAACTGCACGACACACTCCGTGCGCCATCTCAATCCAGTAATTCTCTGCTTATGAGAATTACCAGTCATTTTACAACTGTAATTATGATTTAAGAAAGATTAAACAATGGAAAGTAATTCTTTAGGTCAGATGACACAGGAAAATCCAAGTTGAGCTGTGTCCTGTATTGTGTTTACAAATAACACTGGAGAAAATATCCTAGAACTTTTGGTCAAACATGGCAATATATCCAACAAGATATTTAATAGCTTCTCAAGATAAAGCATTTTCATCTGTATTAAGTATCAAAGTGATATAAAAACCTCTGGTAAGCAGTCTGCTGGGGAAATTTTCATCAAATGAAGTGCTGATGGAATAAACTAGCACTGATATCACAGACAAAATCTAATGTAACTGTGAAGGGGCATTCTATAATGTTGTAGTCACTACCTATAACCTTCTGTGTAGGAGGCATGCTGCACACTGCTAACAGGAGGGCTACAACCACATTCAGGGTTTGTCATCTCTCCATCCTGTAACTCCTTTTATCTCATAAAATCTGCATCTGGCAGGTTGGTGACAGACAAACTATTGAGAAAACAACAAACCCAACAGAAAAAATTAGTGGTGGGATTCCTGGACTTTATCTCAAGATACTGTTGCTCAACAAAGGCCATACATATTTAGCCATCCTGTAACTAGGTCAAATGATAAAGTCCATACCAACCTTTCGTTCTCTTACTAACTTCTGTTCAACCCTGCAGAAGCACTTATAAATCTAACCTCCCATTTCATCATTCCTGTTTTTAGCCATGCACCAACAGAACTCCCAAAGTTAACTCATAGGAAATAGTAGTACAATACAGTTCATTTCTCAGCTGCTTGTGGGGCTCGCAGATGTGATGTCTCATAATAGGTATCTATAGCTACAGGACTCTGAAATGTGTTTGTGCCATTACAAACTTGCTCAGATTGTTATTGAAGGACAAGCTGGTTATAATGTGGGCTTTCTGTACCTGATTGATAAGCTTACTGAAGTGCACTGTAGTCAAAAGATGAGAC